AGGAGGAGGCTGAGAGTGAGGAGGAGGCTGAGCCGGCCAGTGTGGCTCAGTGGTTGAGCACCGACCTATGAACCAGGAGGGCACAGTTCGGTTCCCAGGTGGGGCACCCCGACATCGTCCGTGTCATTACAGACAGCCTCCGTGTGCTTGCGGGCGGAGTTACTCTTTGATAATCTGGGAACTACGGCTTTTCACGTGAAGGAAGCTGTCATTGGTCGCAGAAGGTTTGACAGTTACTGTCAGTGAGTGGGTGGGGCTTGCAGTCCTGAAACCGGTGGTTTGACCTTGAGCCTTGCAAGTGGGTGCACGTGGGGGACGGGGATCCGGGTGGAGGTGTCAGCGGAGCCCTCAGGGGCCATGCGGCTCCTGCACTGTCCTCCGTCCGCTCTCGCCGTGTCCCTGGGTGTCGCCCAAGAGGCTCTCCTCCACCGACCTCTGCTCAGGCCCCCCCGGTCCTGCTGCCACGGGGCCTGCACTGCCGCCTCTGCAAGCCCACGCGTGGCCAGGACCTCAGTCAGGTGAGCCACGGTCCAGCCTCCTCACACCGGCTCGGCCCACGTGGTGCCTGACCCCCGGGCTGCCTCCAGCAGGAATCCTGAGGGGCCGGCTGAGCCAGCATCCCCCCCACCCTGATGTTTCCACGTGGTAATTTCCCACCCCCCGCCCCCAGGCACCCCCCTGCTCCTGGCTGCAGGCCCCACTGTGCATGTCGGACGTGGAGTGAGCCTGTTCTGCACCCACCCCTTTCCCGTGTCCGTGGTCCTGGGTAAGGGCTGTCTTTCCCGTGGTAACTGCATCCAGCCCTGGTTTTCTTCGACGGCGTCTGCTAGTGATGGGCCCCGTGCTCGGCACCAAGGCCCCACCCTCACCAAGCAGACCTTGAGGTGGCGGCCTCTGTGCTATGGTGACACAGAGCAGAACTTTCCGGAAGCTCCCAGCCTGGATGTTCTGCATGCGGTTCACGGTGTCGCCCTGAAAAGGCACCAGCAGGCTGTCTCCCTAAAGGGCCAAAAAGAAACATGTTAGGCTTTTAGGGCCACATGAGTCTCTGTTGTCCATTCCTGTTCGTTTCTGCTGCGTGTGTGTGTGTGTGTGTGTGTGTGTGTGTGTGTGTGTGTGTTTTGTTTTGTTTTTACAACCCTTTAAGGATGCAGAAGTCCTTCTCACTCACAGACTCACAAAAACCAGCTGAGGATAGCGTGGCTGTCTCCGACGGGGACAAGTTGCTGGCTCGCCCAGAGCCCCGGTTCCCACGTCTGTGGGTGGAGATGTGACAGGTGGGAGCCCTTCCTGTTCTTTTCTGCTGTGTGTGTGTGTGTGTGTGTGTGTGTGTGTGTGTGTGTGTGTGTGTGTTTTGTTTTGTTTTTACAACCCTTTAAGGATGCAAAAGTCCTTCTCACTCACAGACGTACAAAACCCAGCCAAGGGCTAGCATGGCCGTCTCCTACGTGGACAAGTTGCTGGCCCGCCCAGAGCCCCGGTTCCCACGTCTGTGGGTGGAGATGTGACAGGTGGGAGGTCTGTCCCTGGCCAGCGGGGAGGGCTCATTAGACCCGAAGGGGAAGTGTCCACACCCACTGGCAGGACTCGTGCTCAGTGAGCAGTCACTGGGGGAGGTGAGAGGCCAGACATTTCAGAGTTTTCCGGTCCTGGCCAGTTGCTCTGATGGGGAAAATGAGACATTTTGGGGGCTAGCAATCTTGAATCTGTGCAGTAACCTAATGCACATTCTCAATAGCCCCTTTCTCCACAATCTGGTCTTGCAAGACCTGTTTACCTAAGTGCTCCTCCCATTTTACAGAGGCCGTAAGCCCTGAACCACCTCCAGAGGGGTTATCAGCGCTGGCGCCAGGCCAGGCCTTTAGGTGAGGTCTCACGGCCCCCACCCCAATACACGGGGCTTTTTGCAAAGCCCACAAAAGGTCCGGAAGTCCCATCCCATATTTGGGGGACAAAGAAACCAAAGGGTATAAAGGGAA